TCTTTCAGCCCTGATGGACTTGGGGCTCCCTGAACCTCACTCTGGGGCCATCCACCTTGGAAGACAGAGCTGGAAGCTGCCTGGGCCTGCCAGGTGCTGGAGCCCCCGCAGCCCACTCGCTTTGGCCATGCAGAAGCCTCTCTCATGCACAAGCATGGTCTTGTGTCTCTGGGGCCATTGTGCACCAGGCTGGGGCTCGGCAGTCCATGAAGGGTGTCCCACCAGGCCTGTGCCCTGTTACTGCCCTCCTAGAGGAAAGGACAGGAGGCTCAGGGAGGGGGGTCACTTGCCCCTTGTTGGGGGCTTCAGGGAGGGCTTTGTGGAAGGAGGCCCTGAGACAGCCTTCTGGGATTCTGCAGGGGGTGGGGGTTGGGGGTGGAGAAGGTGGGCTGGGGAGGGCCATTTGGAAGGCAGAGCTCCATGGCCTGGCTGTTGTGTAGACAGGTAGACATGGTGGGAAGAAGGTGCACCTGCCACTGTGAGCGAGGAGGGAAGACTGGCCAACCCCCATCACCCAGAAGCTGGACAGCTCAGAGCTCCGTGGTGGGCTGCAGTGGGAGCCCTCACTAGGAGCTGCTGGGCTGGGGACTGGGGCTGGAGCTGGGCTTTGGGGGATGAGTCAGGGAGGCTCTAGGTGCAGCTGCCACGGGTGAGGCCATTGTTGCCTTCCAGGTGACGGCAGGGAGAGAGAGAGGAGAGGTGAATGAGGGCTGAGTGGGGCTGCCCTGTCTGTGGCCTTCCTGGCTGGTGGGGTGGGCGTGGGGAGGGCGGTTAAGGGAGTCGCAGGCGAGGACAAGGCAGGCACAAGTCCCCCAGACCCTCCAAGCTGCTGGAGAGCTGCAGGGGGAGCAGGGTTTTCTCTGGGCCCTGGGGATCCTGTCTAGGGCCCAACATGTCAGGGGGCCGGGGTCGTCACTCAGAGGCACCAAGCTGGAGAAACAGCGGGGACTGGACAGGGAGGAGGAACAGGAGGACACAGAGGAGCTGAGCCAGTGGGCGGCCCAGGGGCCCAGGGGGGCCACTGTGCTTGGCATCAGAGAGTCTTTGCTTTGGAAGGGCTCCCCACCTTCTCGCTACTGGTCGGCTTGGGCCACCCCTCCCCCCGGAGGAGCAGTTCTCAAACTGTGGGTTTGAGAACTTTCACAGGGGGTTGACCCTTTTCACAAGGGTCGCCCGATTCATAACAGTAGCAAAATTACTTCAGTTATGAAGTAGCGACGAAAATCATTGTATGGTTGGGGGGTCACCACCACATGAGGAGCTGTATGAAAGGGTCACGGTGAGGAAGGTTGAGAACCGCTGCCCTGGAGGGGTCTTCACAGCCCCTCCTCCTCCCTGCCGCCTGGTCCTCTTCTGTAAAAATCCCTGCCTTCCCTGAACTCATTTCTCTACCCACTCCGCCCTGCAGGGACATCCCCCAGAGGCAGCACCATGTCCCCACACAGCCCTACCTCCGTGACCAGTGAGTGGCCATCTCCGTGGTGTGGCCAGGGGTCCTCAGACACACCTTGGCTGGTGCCGGTAGTCAGTGTGCCTCAGTGCCACCATGGGGGAGCCGCCCCCCCAGGCTGGGCCCCTCTGGGAGGGGCCTCATGGGAACCCTCTGGGAGAGAACAGAGCTGCGGCTCCTGGGAAGGTGGGTGCCGTGGGCAGAGGGAGACACACGGGCAGTGGACACAGGCAGTCCTGGGTTCAGATCTTGTCAGTAAGGGACACACCATTGGCTGAGGTTTACAAAAACCTCACCATGGACATGCTGCTCAATGCAGACTTTAGGGACCCCCCCCCCCACCGGGAGGCCCCAGGTGTTGCAAGTGGTTCACGGGCAAGGCTGCTGCCAGAAAGGCTGGAGGCTGGAATCCATCTGAGGAGCCATGAACAAAGGCCACAGAAACACTGCTTGGTTGTTAGTGTCCGCCCAGGGGATCCTGTGTGTGTCAGGGCGGAGCGCCCCATCTTTCTTCCAGGGCCTTGCTGGGTGGGCTTCAGACACCAGCCTGCCGATTAGCCGCCAAGGGCATCACGTTTGTGGCACCTGGTGACTCCTGGCTGGCATTAGACCATCGTGCCATCATGACAGAGTCTCATTGCCCTCTGGGCACACCATCAACAATGCTGGAGCTAGGGGGATCGAGTGGCAAGCACCCCACCTGTGAACAGGGCAGGCCCCTCAGGGTGCCGGAGGCTGCAGCTCATCAGAGCGCGTCACCAGCACCCTCTGGCCACTCTGGGTGGTGTGACTCTTGGCAGGAAGGAGGGCCAGGTCAAGCCACTCCAGGAAGACCCCTGAGCTGGGGATGGGGCCCAGGTGCCCTGGCCACCACCAGGCATGGCGCAGCCTCTTCTCTGGGAGAGAAATAAACTGGCTTCCGGCCGACTGTGGCCCCTCAGCGGGGGTCTGTCCTGGAGGGGTGTAGCGCAGACTCAGACATGCTTCTGATCACCTTCCCGGCAGCAGACACCTCCCTTTCTTTCAAGCTCATTGGAATTTTAGAGAAGACAGAGGTTTGTCTTCGAGAAACAACTTCTGCACCTGGAGCCACACAGGAATGAGATGAGGTTTCCCACTCCCGTGAGAAATTAGTTGTTTGCAGCTGTTTGGAAGCCCACAGGACCAGCTCTCTCCTGTCCCAGAGGGTCCCCTGAGTCGGCATCAATTCGATGGCTATGAGTTTGGGTTTAGTTCTTTTAGTCCAGGGTTCAAACCCCACCCAGCACCATCACATATTAGCTGTGTGGCCTTGGGCAAGTTACTGAACCTCTCTGTTCCCTCCCAGCTGGAAAAGGGGAATCCTGGACTCCTGTCTGGGCCTGTCCCTCTGTTCCCTTCTGTCCAAGGAGACGGGGCTGGCCATGGGGAACTGCCTCACCCTCCCGATGGCCCGGCCAGCAGATGGGACCACGTGTCATCTCTTCTTCCTGTTATTCATTCATTCGCCGGGTCAGTTGCATCTGTTGGGCACCAGGTTCTATGCATCCCTGCCTTCCAGTTGATTTAAACTCACAGTGACCCTCCCTGTAGGACAGCGTGGAAGGAAATGCTCCCATCAGGGTTCCGAGACTGTAAGTTTTGACCAGAGCAGACAGCCTCATCTTCCTCTCACTGAGTGACCGGTGGGTTTGAACCACTGACCTTTGGGCTGGCGCCGGTGGCGGGGTTCATTAACCACTGTGTCATCAGGGTGCCTTAGAGAGAATGAGCGGCTAATTCATTAATTATTACATGCTGTGATGATAGAAACCCTGCTGGCATGTGGGTTAGCATTGGGCTGCTCACCCGCCAAGTGGGCAGTTCAAACCCACCTGCTGCTGCTCCCCGCCAGGAGCAAGATGAGGCTGTCTGCTCCTGTCAAGATTTAGACTCAGAAACCCTAAGAGACCGGTCCCTTCCAGTTCCAGAGAGCACCACCCCGAGTCAGCGCTGACTCCACGGCGGTGGTTTGGGCTGTCTGGGGTTTTTTTTTAACGACGAAAAAATAAGGAGCCCCAGTGATTGACATGCTTGGCCATTCACTGAAAGGCAAGGTTGGTGTTTCGAACCCAGCCGCTGTGCTGCGGGAGGAGGTGTCGTGGGGACAGCAGGACCAAACACCCCCACCCCCTGCACCCCCACCCCACGGTGACTCTGAACCCATTGTTGCCGCCACGGTGTCCACCCAGCGCACTGAGAGTCTTCCTCTGTCCTCACCGCCCCTCTCCTGTACCAAGCGTGAGGTCCTTCTCCAGGGACCGCTCCCTCCTGATCACGTGACCAAAGGACATGGGACGGTCTCTGGTACTCTCCCTTCTAAGGAGCAGGCTGGGTGGACTTCTTCCAAGTCCTTGCTTGTTCCGCGGACATCCCGGTGTCTTCAGGAGTCTTCGCCAACGCCTCATTTAAAGGCACATGCTCCTCTTCTGGAGAAGAGCGTTGGAAGTTCCACGGGAAGAGCACACAGCCCCACCCGTCTCAGAAGAAGCGCAGCCAGGCCGCTCCCTGAAGGGAAGGATGGAGAAACTGCGTCTCACGTAGTCTGGACGTGATGGGGGAGACCAGTCCCCGGAGAACATCGCGCTTCGTAAAGCAGAGGGGTAGCAAACAAGAGGAAGACCCTGGGAAGGACAGACCGATGCAGGGCTGCAACAAGGGGCGCAGACTAAGAGCAGTGGTGAGGGTGGCGAGGCCGAGGCGGCGTTTCGTTCTGTTTTAACATCGGGTCTAGAGGAATCAGAACAGACTGGTGGGCACCGAAGGACAACAGCCTTCTTCTTCAGTTCGACCTTCACCCTTCGCGATTCCTTGCCCAGCTTCGGCATGCACAGGAGGGGATTGGAAACACCATGGCTTGGGCGAGGGGCACCTGAGGCCTCAAAGTGGCATCTTTACGCGTTAGCCCTTTAAAGAGGTCAGTTGAAGGGCCCGATGAAGGACGTCCTGGGATTGCTCGACTGTTGCTTCCACTGCTGTTGACGGTGGCTCTAAGGAAAGGGACATCTCTGTCTGCTTTGGTCTCTGCTGTCTTCGTCATGATGTTGTCCGCGGGTCCAGTGGCGAGGGTTTGGGCTTTCTTGACATGAAGACGCCATCCACCCTGGAGGCTGTTCACCGTCGGGGCAAGTCTTCTCCACGTCCAGGCAGCACCGTTATGTGGGGGCATCTGGCAGTAGATGGCCCCACCAGAAAGACAGGCCATCACAGCCTCTTGGACCATTCCACTCTGTCTCATGGAAGGGCGGGGCAGGGGGTGTTCTCTCTGGGTCAGAATGTTCTCCAAGGCAATGGGCTTTCATAGACCTGCTGGTCAGGACAGTCTTTTTGGAGGAGGGAACATTTGAGCACAAGGTGAATGAAGGGAGAGAGGGCACAGAGGAGACTGGTGGGTGTAGGTTGGGGTGCCCTGAGAGTGGAGTGCCTAGCCTGGCCCTTTGCCATCAAGGGCAACCACGCGGCGCTCACTGGTGTTCTTTCCCTCCCCTCCCCCAGCTCCACCCAGTGGCTGTGATGGCAGGCGGCGGTCTGTCCTGGCACCTGCCCATCCTCATGCTCCTGGCCATCCCTGGGCTGTCCGAAGCAGTGAATGGTGAGGACTTGAGTGCCCTAGGGTCGAAGACTCGGGCTACTCGTCCAGAGCCCCTCCCTCCCTTCCTAGTGCCCAGCTTCTTGACCACAGGCTCAGCAGCAGGGGCAGGAGGGAGGCAGGGACACTGCGCTGGCAAGGACCCCAGGGAACAGAGATCAGGGGCCCCTGTCCCTGCACTAAACAGGGGCAGCAAGACCCTGGCCTCTCCTCCTGCTCTGCCTGGTTTTCTCCTCTCTCAAATCGGTCTATTAGCCCCCTCTCTGCCTCTCTCCACATCTGGTAGGCATGGGGTGATGGGAGCCAGAGTGGTGGCTGAGGGCCGAGGGCTCCGTGCAGCCACTCACGTCCGCCCTCCCTGGCAGACACCTCCACGCTCACATGCTTCTACAACTCGAAGGCCAACATCTCCTGCGTCTGGAGCCAGGAGGATGGAGCTCCGCAGGTCACCGACTGCCAGGTATACGCCAAACCAGACAAGAGGTAAGTGCCGGGTCGGCCCACCCCAACCTAAAACCCAGAACCACTGCTGCCCAGTCAGTGCCAGCCCACAGTGCCCTAGAGGCAGGGTGGCACTGCTCCATGGGGCTTCTGAGGATGCTCATCCCTGTGGAGACAGCCTACCTCGTCTTCCTCCTATGGAGCAGCGGGGGTTAGGGGGGTGGGGGTAGGGGGGTTCAAACCACTGACATTTCTGTTAGCATCCCAATGCCCAGCCCTCTGTACCACCAGGCCTGCTTGCACTGCAGCCTCACTCTCCCTGGCCTTTAGATTCTTGTGACCTCTAAGAGTCTTAGACTCTAAGAGTCTTGGGGCCACAGAACCAGGTATCCTTTCAGAGATAGGGGGAGTCAGACAGGTAGATTCCAGTTGCCCAGGGAGGGTTGGGGGCAGGCAGGCAGAAGGCAGGCTGCCAGGGCAGGGCAGACCACGTGCTTCGGTGACCCTGGGCCACAGCCTACAGTGCCATGGTGGGCTCATCTCCAGAGGCGATTTGGGATGAAAGGGGACCCTCCAAGTCTTCAGAGCCATCTGGGGTTTCGAGAGCCCCCCCCACCTTACCCCTGGCAGTTGTGGGGTCAGGGCCCTCCTGGGTCCAGTCATCCAGGTGGTCAGTAAGTGTCAGTGCTGGCAGGGAGGTAGTAGGGAAAGTCTCTGAGACAGGGGATGACCGTGGGCTTGGGGGTCAGTTGGACAGGGCACAGAGAATTCAGAAGGAGCTGGCACAGGTGGCCTTGGTCTCTGCCCTGGCTCCTGCAGGGGCGGGGTGATACCATGGGGTCTTCCCCTTCAACCCCATGGGAAGATTTTAGATGGCTTTTAGGAGGGAGCTGTAGCTGCCTTGAAGCTGTGTTCTAGAAGGTCTCTCAGGCTGCTGGGTGGGGAGTGGCTGGGGATGGTTACTGGACAGTGGGGGAGCAGGGATCCTTTGCCGGGCTGGCCCAGAGCCCTGTGAAAACCCACTCAAACGCATGGTGGTGGTGGTGGTGGTGGTGGTGTGTGTGTGTAGCGGGGTGGGCAGTGGCCTCCACAGCACAGAGACCTGAGAAGAGACCCTTGGACCCAGCTGGTACGGGACTCCTTCCCTAAATGGGCTTTCTGACTGTGACAGGCGGTGGCGAGAAAACTGCCCCTTGCATCCCTGGGGGCCAAAGTCCTGGGCTTGCAACCTGGTCTTCGGGCTTCCATCGGTGAGTACCTAAGGCAGGCAGGGGTGACCTCCAGCTGGGAGGCTGCCCTCCTGTCCTTTGCCCCGTGGGCTTTCCTGAGCCCTGTGGCCCCTGGAGGGGCTGCTGCCCGGCTCTCCACCCAGTGGGCTAGCAGCTTGGTGATAATGACAAGCTCACCCAACCCTCACCCCCACACCTGAGTCCTGAGTCCTCGATATAGCCGTGGGGCTGGCTCAGAGTGGAGAGGCTGCAGCCTGGAGGCCTGGGTTTAAGTGGGACTTTCTGTGCCTCCATCTCCCCGCCTGTGGAATTGGGGTGATAACTGCAGCAGTCTCAGGGGGTTGCTCAGAGGGTCCAGGGTCTTTGAAGGGAGTAAGCTGCCTAGGGCCACAGGCCAGGGAGAGTCTGAGTGTAATTTGAACCCAGGCCTCTTACAGGGCCCCCTGCTGTGCCCCTGGAAAATGAATTGCATTGAGTGGCAGACCAACTTGGCCTTGACACTCCCCCCACTAGCACTCCCCCCACCACCCCGCGCAGAAAGAAACCTCTCTGCCACTGAGTCCATGCTGACACACAGAGACTCCCCAGGACAGAGTAGAACTGCCCCTGCAGGTTTACAAGATGGTAACTCTTTACGGGATAGAAAACATCATCTTTCTCCCGAAGAGCTGCTGGTGGTTTCGATCCGCTGACCTCGAGGTTAGCCACCCAGCGTATAATGCCAGCAGGGCTCCCATTGGGACCTGCCCACACCTTCATGCTCTAACCCTCGCTGGTTGTACTGACTCTCTGGGAGGTGTGGGCGTGGGGGGGTATAGGGCCCCCCGATGTCCCCGGTAACATCCCAGCCCCTGGAATAGGCTGTGAGCTTTGCAGCAGGCCTGGCTCCTCCCCTCCCTCGATGTCCAACCTGCAGCGAGTGACAGCACCTCTCTGTGCTCCCATGTCCTCAGCAGTGGGAGGAGGGGTGGAGAGAATTAAATGAGATCACTGATGTAGTGTGCTCAGAAGAGGGTCTGGTCCTAAGTCAGCGCTCCAGATGGGGGGTCCTTAGTGCTAACTTTGCCACCATAACACGGATACCTACTATCGGGGACACCTGCCCCTTCTCAGCACCCCATTCTGGCCACGAAGCTTTCAGAAGACGGGGAGAATAATTCCCTGCCTGGCCAGTCCCAGCAGCCCTGCTGTTTGGGCTCAGGGTTAGCTCACAGTGGGGCCTCCTGTGGGTCAGAGGGATGACCCCTGCGCCTGCCAAGTGCCACTGTCAGCTTCCTCAGGAGCTCAGCCGGACAAGAGCCGCATCCCTCTGCTCAGCTGTGGACGCGGAGGAGGGCCTGCGTTTGAATCTGGGCTACCCTGCAGGCCAGCTGTGTGACTTGGGCCAGTCTCTTATCCAATGGGGCCTCAGGGTGGGCACGGACTGCCGGGAGAATCCAGCGACACTGTGGCTTTGTCTGTGCCCAGGAAACACCCCATACCTGTCATCTTCTTCCAGAGAGGGCAGGCCGTGGGATATCTAGAGCTGGGCAGGGACGGGTCTTCCCAGCGATTGAACATGGTCAGCATCAGACTTGCATCTTCTCGCAGCCCTCTTGTGATGCAAAATTCACTATGGACCAAGGCAGCTTCATTCACTTTAGGTCAAGGCTGAGCCAACGGTGGCCCTCCGATGGTTTCTGTCAATAAAGTTTTATTGGAGCACATGATGGTTTCTGTCAATAAAGTTTTATTGGAGCACAGCCCAGACCGTGCTTGCTTGCTAGTGCCAAGGGCAGAGCTGAAGGGTGCTGACAGAGACCCTCAGGCTGAATGGCCCCGAGCATTTTACCATCTGGCCCTTTACAGACTAAGGCCTGCTGCTCCCTGCCTTAGAGGCAGGGCATGGGGGTGGGGGTGGGAGGAGAATGCCACTTTTGCTGCCTCTCTTGCCCTCCTCACCTCGCCGTCCCGAGTAAGGGCCCCAGCCCTGTCTTCCTTTCTTCCCTCGCAGTCCCAGAAGCTGACAGCGGCCGACGTCGTCAGCATTAGTGTGAGGTGCCTGGAAGGGGAGAGGTGGAGGCTTATGACCAGCCTGGACTTCAAGCCCTTTGAAAACCGTGAGTGAGCACCCCGGGGTGGAGCAGGATGCTCTGCAATGGGCCTTCTTCCCAGGGGTCCTCCCTGCTCCAGTCTCTCTGCCCCCTCAGTTTCCACACCCACATGAACCGTGGCCTGGGGGTGGACTCCTTACCCAGCACCCCGCCCTGCCCTGGGTCTACTCCATGGCCAGCATGCCCATCCAGGCCTCTGAGCCTGCACGCACTCTGGTCCCCCTGCCTGGAAGGCTCTTCCACCTGGAACAGTCCACCTCACCCTGACCCTTGGAGCCTCCTCACTGAAAGAATTTACGTCCCAGGTCATCACTGCTGGTCTGTCCCGTTCATTGGCCTGTGAGCTCCCCAGGGCATGGGCACTGTGTCCCTATGTCTCTCATCCTAGCCCCCCAGCTCCAGGCCCACTCCAGTGACACCCCGGGAGATGTGGCTGCCCCACCCCTGAGCATTTGTCTCCACCCCGCTCCCTGCCTCCAAGGCCTGACCTTGGGTGACCTGAGAGGGCATCTGTAGGAGAGGCGCAGGGCTCAAAGCCCACCCAGCCTTGCCTTGACCAGAGTTGTGTCCTGGGTAGACCCCTTAGCATGCTGAGGTTCCGTTTCCTCCCCTGTGAAATGGGGGTAGCGAGTGACCAGCCACACAGGACTGCTGGGGGGACCCTCTTCGTTTCCCATCGAGTGTCGTTGGTCCTCGAGAAAACTTTGCTGCTGCTTGCTTGCCGGGTCAAGTGGAGGGGCCCTCGTGGTGAAGAGGGTTACTCGTAGGGCTGTTAACCAGAAGGCCGGCAGCTCAAACACACCAGCGCCTCCTCTGGAGAAAGAGGAGGCTGTCTGGTCTCAGAAAGATTCCTGCGTTGGGAACCCCCGGTACAGCTCTTCTCTGTCCTGTAGGATTGCTGTCCACTCAGTGGCAGTGGGTTGTCTCTTCAATAGTATCTCAGAATTACCGAACCCTAGATCAATTTAGTTTCGAGATCATAAAACCGTAGCGTCTTTTATAGTCGGCAAATTTGTATGGTCTGTGAGGAGCCCTGCTGACGTGGTGGTCATTGAGCCTTAGACTGCTAACCAGAAGCCGTCTCAACCGTTCAAAGGCACCAGCTGCTCCCCAGGAGAAAGACGGGACTTTCGAATCCCGTCTTGGAAACTCACAGGGGGAGTTCTGTCCTGTCTTGTAAGGTTGTACGAATCAGCATTACCTACTCAATGATGGCAGGGAGGTTGGTTTGGGTTTGGTATAAACCACACATCATGCTTGGCTCTGCCCTGAGCACAGAGACAGGGTGCCTGGGTTCTTTCACCCAAGAGCAATCGAGTGGATCAAGGGAGACAATGTGCCAGGCACCCGGAACGGGCCCGAGGGCAGAGGCCCGGCCACAGTGAGCTCACTGTCTGGTGGGAGCGGGGAGACAGCCAATGAAGCTAGTAGAACCCTCATGGCCTGTGCCAGTGGTGACAGCCAGGACGGAAGGGAGAGCGTGGTGGGTGCTCAGGGCTGGCTTCTCCGGTCAGGTGACATTTGAGCCCCAGAGGAAGGGAGGGTCTCTGGGGAGGACCAGAGAGCCAAAGGTGGTGGTGGGCACAGGTCAGGGCTGGGGGCCGTGATGCAGCATCACCTGCATTGGCTCCTCCTGTCTGCTTTCTTGCCTGCAGTCCGCCTGATGGCCCCCGAGTCCCTCCAGGTTGTCCATGTGGAGGCCCGCAGGTGCAACATCACCTGGACGCTCCCCTCCTACTCCCACTACATCGAGCGTTACCTGGAGTTCCAGGCACGGTCACGGCCTCCAGACCACAGCTGGGAGGTGAGCGATGCCCCGGGCACCCCTGCTCTCCCTCACCCCGATCTCCCCTCCCCCTTCTCCCTCCACGTGCCCCTGGATCAGACTGTGGGCCAGCGCAGGGGAAGGCTTACATGTCAAGAGGCAGGGCCAGCAGACGATCCGAAAATGCAGGGCACCAAGAACCTGGGTACTGACGATGCCATGAGGGGAAGGGGTCCTTGGGTAGGGCAAGGGCGCCCCAGAAGAGAGGCCTGCCTGCCTGCGTCTACTCGACCAGCCATTGAGAACCCCACGGAGCACGTGCGGAGGCCTTGAGTGGGGGCCAGGAAAACAAAACAGGAGCTTACCTTAGGATGGCCCGGCCGTGCCTTTGGACTTGAGGGGCCCAGGAAGGGTTCTGAGGTCCAGCTGGAGCTGACCTTGCAGACCTGGGTCTCCCCCAGAGGCAGGACCATGCTTATGTTGGGAGGGGGGTTGGGGGAGGTGACAGGAAGAAATGGTTCTGGAGGTGAGGGCTGGAGCAGGTGGACTCTGGGTCTGGGTGGGAGCAGGGTGGAAAGGTCTGGGGGACTGCGAAACAAAACAGGAGCTTACCTTAGGATGGCCCGGCCGTGCCTTTGGACTTGAGGGGCCCAGGAAGGGTTCTGAGGTCCAGCTGGAGCTGACCCTGCAGACCTGGGTCTCCCCCAGAGGCAGGACCATGCTTATGTTGGGAGGGGGGTTGGGGGAGGTGACAGGAAGTAATGGTTCTGGAGGTGAGGGCTGGAGCAGGTGGACTCTGGGTCTGGGTGGGAGCAGGGTGGAAAGGTCTGGGGGACTGCAACCTCAGGGGATGCATGCTCCCCTTCCTAGAACCATCCCTCTGCCTGGCTGTGGGCGTGGGTGTGAGCTGGTGGTGCTGCAGGGAGGGTGGGGCAGAGGAGAGAAGGGTCCGGAATCATTGAGCTGATTGGCTTGTGGCTTTGAATAGAGAAAGAGGGGTTCAGGGCCCTTCTAATAATGGCTCCCAGTGGGGGGGGGGCAGGTGGTAAGGAGGATCTGCTCTGTCAGCCCCTCAGCTGGGGAGCCCACAGACCCTGACACCTGGCCTTGGTCCCAGGAGGCCCCCCTGCTGAACATCCAGCAGAACCAGCAGTGGATTTACCTGGAGACCCTGGCCCCCGACACCCCCTACCAGCTGCAGGTGCGGGCCCGGGCCCAGCGAGGCGTCAACACCACCTGGAGCCCGTGGAGCCCGCCCCTGACCTTCAGGACGAAGCCCGAAGGTGCTGGTGGGCACAGATGGGGTGGGGGCGGGGAGCTGGACATGGGGGGATGGGCATGGCAGGCTGCCTGGCCCAGTAACAGACTGGTGGGAGGGGGAGTGGGTGATGGAATCGGGAGAGTGTGCTCCTTTCTAAAGCCCTTTCCTTTCCTCCCTGTCCACTCCTGGCAGCTCCCGGGAAGACCCCGCCCCTTTCCTGGTTGGGCCACATGATTGTGGGCCTCAGTGGTGCCTTGGCCTTCATCCTCCTGGTTTACCTCCTGGTCCATTGCCAGTATATCCGAACTTGGTAAGAGATGACCCTCCTGCCCATCACACTTCTGCCCAGCTCAGAGACACACGCATCACATACATGCACACACACTCAGTGATGAGCGCTGCCCCATGACCCGGCAGGAGCGGTGCCCCCTCCCCAGAGGGGGTCCCCTTTGGTTCACGGAACCAGCCCGAGGAGGGTCATGGGGTCTGAGTCCCTCAGAGGGCCCTGCCTGCTCAAGACGTGTGTGTGTGCGCCGTGTGTGTGCGCGCGTGTATGCATATGTGTGTAAGTGTACATCTGTGTATCTGTGTATGTACACAGCTCACAGCTGCTGTCTCCCTGTGTGTGCTGGGCCCTCTCAGGCCTATCTAGGCCCAAAGACTCATTTGTTCATTCACTCATTCCTCCCTTCCTGAATTTTCTGAGACTCACTGGGCTCCGGGGGTTTGGGGGGCTCTGGAGGCTCCGGCCTGCAGCTCCAGCCTCCCGGGCAGCGGGTCTTGATGACTCACATGTGTGCACAGGGTGCATGATGATGAGAATGGGAAGGTGGGTTCTAGGTGCAGCAGGTACAGCAGCTGAGGAAACTTGTGGGTCAAGGGGAGATGGGGAGGGCACAGGGAGATGCCGTTTCCTTTGAAATCTGAGGGCTTGGAAGCCAACCAGGTGGAGTGAGGGGGCCAGCATGAATGAAGAGCACCCCAGGAACTCAGGATGCAAGGAGGTGGGGGTTGGGGGGGCTGGCAGCAGAAGGGGAGAGGGGGCCTGAAGGGTCACACAGGAGGCCAGGGCTTGGACTTTAGGCAGCCCCCACCCCACCTGTCTGTCAGTGTGTTGCACTGTGGTGGCCCATGTGCTGCTGGATGCTAGGGGCTATGTCACCCGTATTTCATATACCAACAGGGTCACCCCTGGGGCACAGGGTGGGCTCAGCAAAGCTTCCAGACTGGGAAGAAGGGAGAGGCAGCCCACTTCTGAGGGATTAGCCACCGACCGGCAGCAGAAACCCTGGAAGGCGAGCCCCTCGGCAGGAAGGCAGCATGGGGGTCAAATGACGCCGGACCGGGAAGTGGCTGGCAGAACATACCAGCCCCTGAGGGAAGCCACCAGCCACTTTGACATTTCTGTAGCCAGCTCCAGGCTCTGAGCTTTGAGCAGAACCCCAGGCTGGAATTCAGTCCCCACTCAGGCCCTGAGCGGGGGCCCTGCCTTAACCCTGGCCCCAGCCTCTCTCTGGCACCCCCCTGCCCACTTAGTGTGCCGTGCAGTGCTTGTTCAGTGCCTGGCTCTCTGTTGCCATGAATGGCTGCTCACAGTGGCCCCCTGTTCCATTTCCATGTCTGTCTCCCCATGAGAGCAGCAGCTCCTATGAGCAGGCCCCTCCTGCCTCTGCCATTCTTGGGTCCCTAACACCCTGCCTAGTAGCCAGCCCGTTGTGGGCCCTCAGTCAGTAGGGCCAAATGGATAGATGGATGGACAGATGGACGGTGATGGCAGGACATCACGGCCCCATCTCCTCTTACTCCTTCCTTCATCCCCACCCCTCCTTCAGGCTGAAGAAGGTTCTGGAGTGCCACATCCCAAACCCCTCTGAGTTCTTTTCCCAGCTGAGCACAGAGCACGGAGGAGACTTCCAGGTGGGTCCAGAGTGGGCAGCAGGCAGCCGGAGCTGGGAGGGGCAGAGCCCCGGTGGCTTTGCACTTGGAGGGAGAAGATGAAGAGCAGCCGAGAGCTTCGCTCTGGCTCCTGGTGGGTCATCAGCCTCGGAAACCCACAGGGTCAGTTCTACCCCATCCTATGGGGTCCCTCTGAGTTGGCATCAACTCGATGGCAGTGAGAGAGAGAAAGTTTGAGGGAGAAGTGTACCATGTGCCAGGGGAGATGAGAGCTGCCAAGAAGGGACCCACTCTCTCTCTCTGCCTGAATGAGAAGCCCGTCACCCTCCCTATCTTTCTGGGACCCCCACCCCAAGCCAGTTGCCTGGGATCAGGTGGGAGCCAGGTGGTGCCAACTTCTGCTTGCCCTCTGCCACCCACTGCGAAGACCGGGCCTGGGCAGTTCTTCATGGCACTGCGCACAGGCCTGACTGCTGTGTTCAGCGATGCTGCTGGCCCTAACCTGAACACTTCAGCTTCTCTCCCCCATCCTCTGCCCATCTCTCCCTACAGAAGTGGCTCTCCTCGCCCTTCCCCTCGGCCTCCTTCAGCTCCAGCGGCCCAGCACCCGAGATCTCCCGGCTGGAGGTTCTGGACCGTGACACCAAGGCCCTGCAGCTGCTCCTGCAGCCCGAGGACAAGACACCTGCACCCAAGGACAAGGCGCCTGTGCCCTCGCCTGGCAGCCACTCACATGCTAGTTGCTTCACCAACCAGGGTTACTTCTTCTTCCACCTCCCAGATGAGCTGCAGATTGAGGCCTGCCAGGTGTACTTCACCTATGACCCCTGTGCTGAGGAGCCAGAGGAGGGCGGGCCCGGTGCACCCGAGGGGTCCCCCTGGCCAGCCCTGCCACCCCCGCCCGAGGGAGATGATGCCTACTGTTCCTTCCCCCCCGGGGAAGACCTGCTGCTCTTCTCTCCCAGCATGCTCATGGGCCCATGCCCCCCAAACTCTGCGCTTGGGGGTAGTGAGACCATGGAGGAGGTGCTGCAGGGGGAGGTTTCTGGAGAGGCGGACTCCAGATCCCTGGGCCCACCCACTGCAGAGGCCCCCAATGGAGTGGCTGTGCAGTCACTCCTACAGTTGGCACTAGGAGGAGCTAAAGAGGAAGCCCCAGGCCCTGGGTCTGTGGACGGGGCTGCTTCCCCCTGGGCCACCCCTTCGGGGCAGGGGCAGGCCAGAACCCTCGCCTCCTGCCTGGCCCTCAACACGGATGCCTACCTGTCCCTCCAAGAGCTCCAGGGCCAGGACCCAGCACACTCGGTGTAGATGACTCCCACACACTCTGACCTCTTCCAAACCTTATCTGCTGCTCCCTGGAGTCCCACCCCCATGCCAGCCATGCCCCCCTCTCACCCACCCGCCATAGGCCAGTTAGGGCACTCTGTCCAAGATCCAACTATGTCCAAGCTCCTCTCCTCACTGCCAGCATGGCTCCCCATCGCCCTCAGCATCAGATCCACACTCTGCCGCCTGGCTGGCTTCACCATGTGGGATTGGGCAACACCTCCTGGAAGGTCCTGCTGGGTGAATTACTGCAGCTCCCTTGTCCCCCCACCCCACGGACACTGTTTCCTGTTATTGACAGACCCTCCCCTCCCTGATCTGTGTGACTAGCACAGGGAAGTCAGCCTGACTTAGAGAAACGTGCTGCCTTCTTTTTTGGATGGAAGTTTCTAGACTCAGTCCTGGGAGGAGAAGCTCTCAGGGCCATGGGCCCATTGGGCAAAGTGACCCTGTCATTTCCCCATGAGACCTCCTGTGGCCTCGGAACACTCGGCTGTCCTTACCTGCCTTGACGAGCCTGTCCCGGCTCTTGGTGATTATGTCTGCATGTCACAGAATCAAGATGCTCCTTGAGCCGCAGGCTGGTCTGAACGCCTGCCATCTTTGGGGGCTCAGCTTCCAGCACTGCATCAGACAGCCTGCTGTCGGCTGTTGGGTTGTATTTGGTAGTTTTCAGAAATAGATCATTGGGCCTTTCGTCCTAGTCTGTCTTCGTCTGGAAGCTCCATTGAGGCCCATTCCCCACAGATGACTCTGCTGGTATTTAAAATACTGGTGCCATCATGTGCACCGTCATGGCCACATGTAAACCACCACAGCAGAACAACCTGGTAGGACGGTGGCGGGAACACTTGGTCTTACACCCTTAATGCTGTGTTGCAACTATCAACCACGTTGGCCAACAAAGTGGACGCTGGCTGGACCTTCCCAGGATGACCTCAGATTCACAAGGGGCACCACTGGGTAGAAACCCTCGAAGGTCCAGGCTGCCCAAACAGCCGAAGCAGCTCCCACCCCAGGGCTGGGTGATACTGGCCCCCATCCCCACTCCCCATACTCTTTCCTCGAGTTATGACCTCGAAGATTTTCAATGGCTGATTTTTTTTCAGGAGTAGAGCGCCAAGCTTTTCCCTAGTCTGTCTTTCTCTGGGAGCTCCACCGAGACCCGCCCACCATGGGCGACCCTGCCGGTTTTTGAAACACCGGGGACATAACATCCAGTCCCTTAACAATACGTAAGCCGGCCGGCCGGGGACAGGAAACTGACGCATGATGGCTGATCGCACACCTGATGGCTTCATGAGTTACATGGTACCACTTTGCCGGGATTCGCTGAGCTCC